TCTGGTTCTTCAATGAATGACCATGTGAATTCTCAATTATTTTGCGCATCATATTATAATCGGGATGGCCTAACCGGTCAAGCCAAATAATAAAATCATTAGTAAACTCCTTGTTTACTATGGCATGTGATTCAACTACACTAATATTAGTGTAGTATAATCCGGAGGAAAATGCGGGAAGCTTTTCAAGCACATACTTCTTTTCCGCTTTTATTATAGTAATATAAAGGTATTCAACTTTTCCTTCATTGGTGGTCTCAATATGATAGCCATTTTTGCGAATATCTTTGAAACTCAACAAGTTTCTTTGAGACCTACTACAATATAATGCATCATTAACAACCAATATAGTTCCTCCTGGTAGTAATACAGTCGCTCTTCCAGAGACCTCAATTAATTTTGTACTACCAGATATTGTTATGATATTGACTTCTTTCATAATTAAATAAGAGAAATATCTCTTATCTTTTAATATGGTGTGCGTCGTAACACTATCCAGAAGACATATTTCTTCTTTATTATTCATACGCCCAACTAAAGATTGGGAAGTTTTCATATCCTTCAAGAAGAAAAAAATAATACATCATAAGTAATATTGAAAAATTTAAGAATAAAAGAAACTACATTTATGAAATTAAATACTGATAACATAAAAAGTTTTATTCAAAATATGAACTTCATAAAAATAAATACATTTATTCTTATAAGTTTTCCCAATAATAAGTCTTCACTTATGATGCTCAAAGAAGTCTCCAGCTTCTAAATGAGTAATATCTGCAAGGCCTTCAAAAATATCATCTTTATAGGCAAGGTTTGCTTCAACTTTATCATGATTATTCATAGGGCCCGCCTCAACATCATTTTGAAAAGTCAAGTGAGTCTCAACTTTATTTTATTTTCCTTTTATAGATCCTTGATAAAGTTTGACAAAATGTTCAGGTGTACGACAATTTCGTGCCCAATGATTTTTCATACCACATCGGTAGCAAACACTAACTTTGCCTTTTAAAGGATTATTCTGAGAACCCTTATTGTTCTCTTGTTTATAACGACCACCACCATGGCGATTATTATTTCACTCTTTGCCACGCCCGCGTATATTTATACGGCCACGATAATTATTTTGTCTTTTTTTAAACTTTGGATCTATCGTTCCCAGATTCGCTTTTGGAAATAGAGCTGATCCAGTGGGGCGGGCTTCATGATTTTTCATTAAAAGGGCATTATGTTGTTCAGCTACCAAACGGCATGAAATTAACTCAGAATATTTCTTAAAGCCCCTTTTCACGATATTGTTGTTGTAACACCATATTTGAGGCATGAAAAGTGGAAAGAGTCTTTTCCAACATGTCCTCATCATTCATAGGTTCCCCACATAATTTTAGCTGGGAAATTATTCTATATACAACAGAATTATTTTCACTTATGGTCTTATAATCTTGTAGCCGTAAGTGCATCCACTCACGATGAGCTCTTGGCAATACCGTGGTCTTTAGGTAGTCATATCGTTCCTTCAAACTAGTCCATAATTGAAATGGATCTTTCAAGGTTAAATATTCACTTTTTAACCCTTCATCGAGATGAAGGCGAAGGAAAATCATGGCTTTCGCATTATCCTGACTTGATGCTTCATTTCCTTCTTTAATAGTGTCACCAAGACCTTTAGCATCAAGGTGAATTTCAGCATCAAGTACCCATGACAAATAGTTATTCCCAGAGATGTCAAGTGCCATAAATTCAAGTTTTGACAAATTCAACATAGTAAAAACTATCATAGAAATAAGTGAATTAGAATGACAAGAATTATTATCAATTCAGTGCAGTACATAATCGTGTACTAATATCGTGTATACAAGCTTGTAAAAATAAAAAAATAATTACATGCAATGCAATGTTACTATATCATGCTTGACTATAAATTAGCACACAATCATTACCCTATGTATACATAAGAATCCAAATACGTTTACTCAATAGACAATAATCAGAGAGTTATAAAATTAAAGTGAGTATATCATGTTCCGACATTTATTATATCTCTCAATAGTGTAGTTAGGCATAAATCTTAATGATATCGCTATTTCTAATTTCCAGCAAACAATACGTCAATATGTAATTGATAGTTTTCAAAGTTCATATTTCTAACCAAATAATAGCTCTAACATAGACAGGAAATATTCCTTACTCTATACGTTTATCTACCATATTAAATGGAACTCGTTCCAAAGCATAATATCACAAGGTTCTTTTAATTTCATGGCAAAGAATTGATAGCATACTGTTCTATTTCATAAAAGTAAACTTAGAACTAGACATACCGGCATGACAACGTAAAATTAAAGCTTACTCTTTAGGAAGAAGATAAAACTCGGACGAAGCAGATAACTTCAATTGGTTAGAGACTCGTGTTGATAACGTATTATAAAATTATAGTAATATAAGCCAAGAAATATAGATAAAAATTTTCTTCTATCAAGTTGTATTCAAGTCTATCTTATTGATGTCTTTTGTAGAATTAGAAATACCGTATATATAGTGTACAATTTACTTGACAGTTACAAGATATTAAATGAATGTAATAAACATATACATGTATATCTAAAATGGTTCATGGATGAGTTGTTGGACATTCACAAATTCAATGTATTCATAACAATTAACTATTTTGTTTCTTATTTTTCGTTATTACATGATACACTATTCAGTATTACTTCATTGCTAATATGACATTTTATCAGTTTCACTACTCTCCTTTTAATATAACGTATATATTTTCTTACTCCTTTTAATAATATATAAATTACTGATATGAGCAACTTTATTTATATATTAAAATTATATTTTTTTTACTCGAAGTTCTTTTATTATTTAAAGTATTAACTACATATATTTGATTGATTTAATTATTTACTTTTTTACTCTAAAATATAAAGTCTGATTTATTATACCGTGAATGAAAATGTGGAATAGAAAATAAAAAAAGTATAATTATATAGCTGAGGGTTAACATTTAGGATAAAATTCCAAAGTTATAGATCGGAAAAGATGACATATTTTTTGTTTTTTTTTTTGGCAAGGTAGAATACTTTTATCACCAAACATCTCTCACTCACATTCCTACAAAGAATACTTAAATGAATTATTTACTTAATCTTTTCGATCTTCCAATTTATGCTTGAGACTTGACCCGATTTGTTTTATTGTTGCATAATTAAATGAGAGAAATATTCAATCGGTACATTGAACCATATTCGTCAACAGTGAAAAATAGGCCTAAAGTGTAAGGGTCTATTAGTATTTCTCAACTATCAATTGACATGACAATGATGCATACTTGATAAAGCTTTTGGCGCCACAGCAATCCAAAAAAAAAAGATGCTTTCACAAGAGTCAACGTAAGTCCCTTCTGAATAGGGGGAGAAAAAGAGTGCTCTCCTATGTCTCTGTGAGATTTGCAAATGAAACGAAAGAGATTGAAGGATTTCAGTTAGACGAACCCTAGAATGTTCAAGAGAGAGAGTTCAAGAGAGAAATATTTGAGAAGAAATATGAGCTTCATTCAATATTAAAAAAGTTTCTGTACAAGTGTAATACTCGGTCCTTATACAAAAAGAATACAACCAAATAAATAGTGGGTGCTTATATATTGGGCCTGCTACTATGTTGTGCCTTCAGCAAGTCTATCAATTGGGCCATCTATGCTATCTATGCTAACACCCTCCCTCAAGATGTGGGGTAAAAGAACTCCCAGCTTGCCCAGGAGAAGATTATGTGGAACACCAGACAAGGATTCAGTGAAAATATCGGCCAGTTGAGATGAAGAGGAGATGAAGTGAAGAGAAATCAAACCATCTGCAAGCTTCTCCCGTACAAAGTGACAATCAAGTTCTATATGTTTGGTCCGCTCGTGTTGGACAGGTTTCTTAGCAATGTTGAGGGCTGCTTTATTATCACAGTAAACAGGAATAGGGCTGGAAACAGAGACACCAAGATCATGTAATAGACGCGCACAAGCCAAGTCAATTCAGCCACTTTTTTGTGCAAGACTCGACATTCAGCCTCTGCAGAAGAGAGGTAAACAGTAGGTTGGCTCAGGTCCCGGAAGGATTCATAGCCACTCCAGTGCTTCAGGATGCTCTAGTCTGATTGGTGAGTCTTATGGAGGGTGTGACTTAGAATGGTACATTTCTAGTGGCACCAGTCGTCTCACAGGCTGGGGGAGGAGCACAAACTCCCACTACTCCCGCCCCGGAGCAGATGGCTCCCCAGAATCAGGCTCCAGCAGCCTCGCCAGTTGGGGTAGTTCAGCCAGTT